AAGCCTGCGGGTCTGTTCAATGTCCCAAACCCTTGCGTTCCATGTCCCCGCGGTTTCAAACAGGTTTCCGCTCGCTCCGGCCGAACCGGTGAAGCTTCCTGAGCGATCGTCCGATCGGATCAATCCATGCTCTATCCCGGATCCGTTTTCGTACCGAACCTCAGGTCGGGTACGAAAACGGACCCTCCAAACCTACATAAGACGTGTCTCCAATCACCGTACCTGACACATCCAAGAAACTGGATGTCGTGATGACTTGCATGTCAATTCTCCCGGTCCAAGACCTTTTTGTCTTGAGAGCTCTCCTCACTCACCGACCCCGAGTCTTTCGGGGGGGCTCCTTGCACCCGCTGGCGCAGCGGCCCTTGTCGGTCTCCGCGAAGGCGGCGCAGGTCACGGCGTCGCCGTGGCCGCGCAGGCGCCGCAGCACGGTGTTCTTCTCGACCTCGATGACGGCACAGGAGCCACCGGCCTGACGAGACGAGACGTGCACGACTCTATGTTTCCCCCCAAGTTATAGTGATAACTTGAGGTAAAGCACCTTACTGAATCAGCTAAAAATGTTAAACATTAGTTTTAAGAATATTTTAAGTATATGTGGGGGAGGTGGGGATGGTTCCAAAAAGTTCCGTCTGCAGAATCTCCAGTGACATGCCTTTTAGAGTGATCAAATGCTTTGGGACGGCGGGGGGGCCCATCTCAGAGCCCCAAACCGAAACGGCATCAACTGGAGAGCCCGCCTCACCCACCAAGAGCAGCTTGCCATCACTGCGCCAGGAGGCACATTGAGTCCTCGGAGGGGGACGCACCACCGATCCGACCTGTGGACGGGCGACGAGGGACGCTGATTTCAACACACGCGACGAAAACGGAAACGTTGACCTGCACGTCAACCCCTCAAAATTGAGGGGTGGAAACCAATTCTACTACTGGAATCCAGGCGATGAAGGAAGGGTAACTTCATCAATCCTGAATCCAAGAAGTTTTGATCCAATGAACCTCGTTCAAATCTCTGAGTAGCTTTTTCATCATAGCACCATCCAAACAAACAGCCTCTTCAACACGATCCCGTCTCCCGTGACCCGTCCGCGTTCGCGTGACCCTTCTCGCCTGTTCCCTCTCATCAGTCCAAAGCTCACATCTTTGAACTTGGTCATGCTGCGGCCTTCTTCCAACGAGGTTTCTTTCAACGCGGCCGGCTGCCACAAGCCGACCTTCGTGCCAGAGACCAGCGCCAATTTGTGCGGGGCCACCGGGCAAAAGCTGCACCCCATGATGCGGCTGGTCTCTTTTCCTTGGATTTGATGATGAGCTCACCGAGAAAAAAAAAAAAAGTCACCATAAACGCAGGAGGTGGTGTCATGTCATCATCGGAATCGTTTTCCCGCAAGGGGTTCTCATGTCTACAAAGCTTGGAGTGAACAATTGAACTTTCTGAATGGCTCCTGAAGACAAACCTCTTCATGGTTTTGCAAGGGTAAGGAGTAACAATTTCTGGCAATAGGACCCGATTGGAACAGTTAGTGAAGAAAGGCAAAACATCATCAGGAGACAACTGGACCAAAGGAGACTGGGGAGGACCCTAACACCTGGAAAATGGTAGAAAGTGTTTCAAAGGCAGTCCATGTAGTATTGCAAAAGAAAGGTTGGACTCAAGGTGGGTCCAGTATAGATCTATAGAATCCATGGTAATTCGATGATAACCGTCGCCAAGTCCAGGATTTGATTGAAGAGGCCCAACAAAACCAGGTCGGTCAAAGTGTTCGTCTGTGCTTTCGGTTCATTGTAATGCCTCTATTGGGTATATCCCATTCCCTGGGCCCAGGGGATGATGATGGTTAGGTTGCCGGCCGGCATCTCTAAAATAGTGATATTGTAATATGTTACAAGTTACACCATGAGTCACAAAGGGGTGGTTTTTAGTCCCTAAGTGAGTGGATCATGGGCACCTCTTTCCTCCAATAGGCACCCCTTTGTGACTGCTGGTATCTATATATATATATATAATTATATATATATATATGTATAACTGTTTACCGACTGTTACAGGTAATGGGACGCCCATTACCTCTCTCCTATCTGTCTCTAAAAAGGGCGTCGCGGGGGACTCAGGGAGCTGCCTTGACAACCAGCATGGACAACTCCATGGAATGAATGCACAGCAAAGTGCTCCTGTGTTCCCATCAACTACCCTGGCAAAAATCATCATTCCTGAGTTGTGATGCGTACTCCACGGATCTTAGTGAACACAACTATGGGGAAAAGCAGTGCAAAGTCTAAGTGTAAAGACTGTTGACTATTTTAATTTACGTAGTATATTATAGTTCTTCTGAGCCTACCCTGGCTTGATGTCTAAAGAACACCCTCACCAATCGCTATTCTCAAAAGACATGGCGACTTGTATTTCTGTTTCAACAACTCCACAAGCAACATCAACAACTTCTCTCCTTCGCAGCTTCACTTCGCTCGCAGTGAGCAGGTGGAGGAGCAAAAAAGGGTGCCGGGTCGAGAGCAACAGTCACCAAACATCCTCAAACATGGCCGGCATGTGCTTTAAGCTCAAACTAGCCTCACCAGGATCTACACGTTCTCCCGCTTGGGCAAAGGCCCTCAAGATCTACACCTTCAAGTGTCACTCCCGGTATGTGGCCCCTACCGCCCCCGCACACTGCCACCGCCAACTGGCGGTCTCGCCAGGTGTCGTTTGAAGGTCGTCTTGAAAGACTTGAAGTTGTCTTCCTGAGGAAACCAAACCCAAACACTCCTAATGCGACTGCCATATGGGACTGCCATAGGACTGCCGCTCAGGCAAGGGGTGGTGGGTTTGGGGGGGTCAATGGGGCGGCAGTCCTATGGCAGTCTCATTCGTCGTGTTTGGGACAGCGTCTGATGGGACCCAAGTCGGATGTCCTTGACGTTGGGAATAAGAGAGGGGTCGGTGGCCTGGTACGCCTATTGGTTGTGCACGACTGGGGGTATCCCCCCCTCTACTGTATTTACTATTTACCAAGCAACCAAATGTTAAAAGGCCATCTATGAACTTGGAGGCTGGAGACTTGGAGGCTGGAGACTTGGACGTCCTCGCGACAATTTTTTCTGTGAGCGGATCCAAAAGGCCTTGCACATCTGTAAAGAATAAATGCAAGTGAGAGATGTGAACACGGGGTCTCACTCTTGGGCTGGCTGCAAAAGTTGGGTGTGGGGTGCTTCGGGTACATCCAGGCTGGTATAATGTCCACTTGTGATTTATAAGGTGCCGTGACCCCTAAGGATAGTTTCTTCAGAAAGTGGATCGATGATCCATGATGGATAAACAAATGACCTTAGAGCTAGAGTTGCTTTTTTTCCACTTGTGTTCTCTGATTGTTTACTGTACATTTAAGGAAAATGCTAGTCCGTAGTCTTTCTTTGCTCAACTGCCCTATCTTCTTTTCTGGGGGGACTCCATTGCACCACTTAGCTCAACGATTCTCTCAGGGGAACCATGCACCTGGCGATATTGAGCTTTAATCATTCAAAGCGTAGAGCCGTGAGCACAGTCAAGCTAAATCCAAATGATTGCACATGTGTAATTGATTATATATAAATATATATAGAGAGAGAGAACCAGCTCTTTCCCAGAAACTGAGTTGCTGAACCATGATAAAACATGTATTTTAAATATTGAACAACAATTTAAGACCATCGTTGAGTTGGCAAATCAATCACAGCAAGACGGCTCGGTCAAAGTCGGGGTCAACAGCAACTCACGCCACATCATCCCCAGCTCTTCTCTTGTCGTCGCTCTGTGGGCTTCCATTTCGATCCATTTCGCCCTCGACCGGTGTTGGTCGCCGAGACCGGTCGTCCCACCGAGGCACCGAAGCGCTCACCTCGGCGAAGCGCTTCGGCCGCAGGAGCCGCTGCACCTCCAAGGGCTCGCCCATGGCGGTCCGGGAGACCGGAACTGGCGGTGCGCGGTGCGAGACGTGTGCTGCGGGGAGACCGCTGGGACGGTGGAGCAAAGATGGAACATATCAAACTGCTCAAAGCTTGGAAAGGAGTGTGTTCTCAAAGCTTGGAAAGGAGAGTGTTCGCGAATTTCGTTGGGCAAAGGTGAGTTGGCGTTGCTGTCAAAAACACAAACTGGGGATGATGGCTGGAGAGGAATTGGCCTGCAGTCGGCAAATTTGATGGTGTTGTGCAGTCGTGTTGCTTGGTTGGAGAGGTTGACAGGTTTGGCTGATTCGGTCTGTCGAATCATCGGAAGGCTCAAACGGTTGCAGTGGATGTAAGTGATGCGCGTGATGCAACGGTCTTCCCTGAAGCAGCTGAGAAGGTGAGAACTAACTAGCTATTGATCTCCCAAACCACCGCAATGGCGGTCCCATGTTTCGTGTCTGGGTATAGCATCCAAGGTGGTTTAGTAGGACCCTCATCTAAAAGACCTAAAAGATGCAAAAAGACTTGCAAAAAGACATGTAGGGTGCCAGTGCCATATACTCTGAAACCATTGCAGCCATAATCTCCAAACCCCCTCTGTCGCTCCATCGGGCTGGAATAGATGCCGTTCCTTTGCCCTGAAAGCCCCTAATGTAGGTTTGTATAACATGTATATGTATACATGGATAATACATATATATATATATACATGGACATGGATATACATGGAGTGCTTGCGCACTATGGAGGTCTTCTTCTGAAGGCTGATGATCGGATGAGGGAACTTCCCACATGACTGCGCCTTTGCCAGAAAAAATGTCGCCTCTTGGCACGGATGCACACTTGAGCTTGGGTGTGCGATTTGCAAGGCAGATCCTTTCTTTTGCTGCATGTCGTCGTCACCCTGATAATCAGTCCACAGAGTCAACCGCCTATATAATAAGCACCCCTAAGAAAACACATCATCAGCACTGCTCAATGTGCTCCAATGAAAACAAATCCCTCTTCAAAAAGGATAATTCCTTTCATCTCATCACTTACTTCGATCGCCCAAACCTCAACTGACGCTCCCAAGTCTCGTCACAGTGCTGACTGTAGAAAGGTGGCTCGCCAGCCAAGAGCATGTAGAGGATAATTCCAGTGCTCCACAAGTCGCATTTGTAGTTGTAGGAGCCTTGGTCGCTTCGCGTTTGCGGCATCAGTCTTTCTGTAAGTCCCAGAGTGCGAGAACAAAAACGCAACGCAGTCAGTGCTCCCTTTAGATGATTGCAGTCAGGTGTCTGCTAAGCTTAACTTAGGATGTACATATAACTATACCATCTTATTATATAATATACAATAAATATATTATATATATTATATATATACTGATCATGGGGAACATCGTGCAGCACTGCAGGGGCCCATGGTGCCCCATGTCCACCTCTTGCTGCACCTGAAGGTAGGCCTCAGAAATCCAAGAGGCCCTTGATGACTTCAGGAGCGATATAGTATATCGTCCCCAGTGTGGCGGTCATTGGAGTGTCCTCACGGCACGGACGGACAGGAACCTGGACAGGAACCTGGCGACTGGCCGGGACTTCAGGGATCGTGTATGCACTGGCGGAACCTGTTCCGAGCGGCAACGCCCGCGGACCAACGCAGGAGTTCCATACAGATCAACTGCTCAAGCCCTGGCTCCCATCAAATCAGGATTGAGTTGATCTGTATGGAACCCCTCAACCCCTGGCAGATCAACTCCTGACTCAGAAAGAGTTCCATCAAATCAGGTGTCTTGCCAGTCTTGTGTGCTTCGGCTCGATTGCACCGGGTCCGAGAATCGATGCCGTGACGAGGTCATTGCCAGCGCCATTGGTTTTTGGTCACGGTGGCTGCCGTCTGCAAGCTCCAATGAACCAAGAAAAAAGGGGATTGGTGTCAAAAACCATGACTTTCGTAACTTGAGAGAATGATGCAACACTGTCTTGGCCAATTCGTCGACCGAATCGGTTCCTTTTTGCCTCTTTTCGCCCCGCGTCGACGGTCGATTCTGTGTCACGTGGGTCGGACCCGAGTCGGCACGGGAATGACTGCCCTGGCATAGCTTCGCCATGCGCTGTGTTTCTCCTCGCTGAAAGCTTTGGCAAAGCCAAAGTCGATGAGCTTTAAGGAAAGGTCGCTGTGATCTTTGTAGACCTGGGCTATGCGGCAGTGCTAGGACCTGGCACCTCTACACACACACACACACCTGACACCTAAGCGCACCGAGGAGCAAGACATTTCTTTGGGCAAATCTTTCAAGACTAACATCTTCCGCCTGGCCAACGCCTTCTTCTCCCTTCATATCCTTCTACTCATCAAAGGCCCAGTCGCCCAGTTCTCAAGCTTCAAATCTCGATGACACACACGGTGCCAATGCAGGTAGGTCCTGATCACATGCCAGGACCATCCAGTGTTGGGCAACCAGGCGAATACCGAGAACGGAGTCGGCACTGAGTCATCACAGTCTTTTGTGTTTCTTTCTTGCTTGGGTGATAATGCAAGCAACAAATGAATCAAGTAGTGCAAAGAGAATGAAGCTGGACCAGTGCAAAGTGGCTGCGAGCGCCTCATTGACCAGGATATGGCAAGCCATATCAGAAACCAACTTAAGGAGCTCCTTTTGATTTTGGAAGAGTTCCACTTGGCATGGGCATGAGACATCCCGACCATTGACCACCGAATGGCGGAGCTTCGAAGTGTTGTCGGAGACTGGTCGGCCAACCAACGACACCCGTTTGACCCATCATCAGCTGCCAACTCGTCGAAACCGAGTTACACCTCTTGCATGTCAAAATGGCATGGCTGCACTGGGTGTTCTCTTGCTCCCTCAGTTTCCATGGAACATCAAGCTTAACCCCTTTCCACCTATTCTTGTTTAGTTGCAAAACGATAATCCCGTTGTCCACCCTACCACTAGGTAGGTTCCGAAAAGTCAGGTAGGTGACCCCAACGAAGACTGGAGTTTACCACATCTCGCCACAAGGGATCTCAAGCGATCTCTCTGGACGAGGATCAGTGCCCGAAGCATTTGCCTGAAGCGAGGAGTCAGCGAGGATCAGGTGACATGAAGTGTTTCAGCTGGGCTGCCTGGGGATCCCCGGAAGGGACACACAGAACTCAGCTGAAACAAACATTCCGTCTAAAGATCATCGACGAATTTGCGGAGAAGCTCCACAAAACGAATCATATAGATATAGTTAATCTCTGTTGATAGATAGTCTCACGACGTTTATCCATTGAAACAGGACGAGGCAAAAAACCGCCTGGAGCAAGCTGTACACTTTGTTTTGGCGCTGTAAAGAGCGCTGGGTTTCTTCCTTGGTCGATTGCAACTTGCCTAAGAATGGCTGGTTGGTGAGCTCAACTCACTTGAAACATATGAAACAGTGGGTTCAATCACCCCAAGTAAAGGTTGCAAATAGCAACATCTGAAACCACCACCCAAATGGCCATGCAGAAACGCCATACATTTAGGGCACCTGACATCTATATATATATATATATAGGCTTAAAGTTAAAATGGTCGGAATAGATCAAGATTGGATTTGCCTGGCGTAGAAATATCAACCCGACCCCTGCCACAGCCGTTTTATTCACAAAAAGCATCGTGCCTCAGGGCTATGATTGCTTCATCCTCGGTAAAGACACCTGAGAGTGTGAAATCAGTGCAGCAAAAGACGTCAGAACCACATTCCGCCGACTTACTTGTGCGTGTTAGGTGATTAAGTTGCATCAAGTTGCATATGTTCAACAAATCAGCCGGTATTCAATTGTCACATGTCCAAGAATACTTTGGACCGGACCAAACCCATCAAAGCCTGGAGCCTCCTGTATACCAACAAATTAGCCTTGCCCCTACGTAACATCTCAGCCTGCACTCGCACGTTATCAAACCCTTGTTTCAACCAAGAGTGGGCAAAACAACATAAAGCAAGAAAAAACTAAAGAGGATAGAATACCTGGAATTCCTACACAAACAGGGTGTTCCACGTTGGTGAGTCCGAGTCGAAGTACGTCTTACAAGTTACAATGTTCACCAGTGGGGCACCCAATAGTCTACATGGCTGGAATGAGTCTACATCTATCCAGCCCCGTCACCTCCACCCACCCTATAGAACCCCCTGTCAAAAATAGAAAAGTAGATCCCGGATCCCCACTTTTAGAAAAAGTCGAAAGCGTGCCATATCTGGTCAATTCTGGTCATCAACAAAATAGGGGCTCCACCCATGCCATGCCCGACCAATGCCGTGTACCTCGATCATACCAGCGATCATAGAGCTCGCCGCCACTGCAAAGCTCCATGACCTGAACTAAAGTTCTAAAGGCTGAAAGGTAGTAAATGAGACTCTTGATTGGTAAACCAACCCCAGCCTGAAGAGGCAAAAGCACAACACGACACATGGGACTGGCATATATACCTATAAGGATCCTATAGGGATGGTTGACACAGGGGTCAACGGAGGCATATATGCAATACATGGAGTGTTTGGGACGGGTACTCTTCTTCACCGCTTTTTGCGGCGAATAGGACGTCCTTCTTCCGATACCATCGACGATGTGCCCCACAAAAGGTGCGAAAGTTATAACGATTTGGCATCCTTTTCTGTAGACTCCGACTCGAAGCTGTGCCCCCGGTGTGGCCTGGCACAGACTCTGTATTGCGAAATGTTTTTTTGCGGGTGAACAATGTGTTGCTTCAACTGTGCATTTTCAATGTTGATATTTTTTGCAGCGCTTAATTGTTTAGGCTGATCATGCCTGATCTGTTGTTAGATGTGGTTTTTGATTAGGGGTGTGCCTTTGTCGCCTACCTGGGAACCATCATTTGATCTTATGTCGGTTACGGTGCATTTTCAGTGACACATGGAAGAACCGTCAGGGCGAGGGTATTCCCAGAATAAACACGGAGATTAGATTTGTACAATCTATCTCCCAACTAGGCCAGCAAGTTAGCTCCACTGGAATTGGATCTCTCAGCGGCTAGTAGACAACTGACTATACTGACTACTCATGACTCATGACTCTCAATCAAAGAGAGAGATCCAATTTGAACTGGTCTCTGGGGTCTTCATTTGCAGGGGTCACAGGGTCACAAGCATTCAGCCAACAGTGCGAGCGCTGATGCTCATCCACCTCACTGTTGACCGTGCAAAGCGCGCTCATCCACCTCCCATGGGGACCTAGGGGACCTAGGCCACAGCACATCGTTCTGCCGGAGAGTGGTCAGATCCAGTCCCTGTCGGGACCCGAACAGGACGCGACACCGTGTCCTTCGAACACAGGGAGACAGCTTTTGCGGCTTTCGAATGGTCCGTTTGGAAGTATGAGGTCTGTTTGGTAAGAATGGAGGGCAAAGCCAGGTGCTGTAATACCATGGTAATACCTGTTGTTTGGACACTCTTGGGCGCCTATCTCCTTCCAAACATCCCAACTGGCCGTTGGAATCACGATGCTCCATGCCGCTTCGCCAGCGATGCTAGGGCACCCAACAAGGTGACATGATCCCTCGTTGGCATACCTCGATGCAACGAAGCGTGACTTCGAAGTCGATCCAAACGTTTTTTCCGATAAGGCCAACAAAAACGCACCTGGGGAAGAGGAGAATGATAGAAACTGACTTACATCATCATACATCACCATGGTTTCAACAAAACAAATTCCAATTATATATCCGAAATCACTCGAAATTCTCACAACTCTGAGCTACAGGTGCCACTCAACCTACAGTAACTTGGAGAATGCAGGTGAATGAATCAAAACACGTCCGACCAATCGGTCCCCAAAACAAACACTTCAATGTGTCCTTGGCCCCCAGCGGCACAATCTGATTCCTTGGGTATAGATCCCAGACACGACCTGTCTGGGACTGCCATAGGACTGCCGCCCCATTGGCCCCCCAAAACCACCCCAACTGATCAGCATATATGGCAGTCCCATGGCGTGTCTGGGTATCCCATTCCAGTAACAGTGGGTGAAACCCGCTTTGGCTAGGACCTGAAACCCCCGACATATCCAAATGGTTCTATTTGACCGACGCTTTTACCGACTGTGACCGGCATAAGAGTGGAACTTGTTTTGGGATGCGAGGTAGGCCCATAGCAATGGCCACGCTAAAAGCAAACCAAACTGGTGTGTATACAAAGAAAAGTTTAGTTGTATTAGAATATATAATATCTTACAAGAATGTGAAACATCATAGGCATAGGCCCTAGGGAATGAGGGAATGAGCTGGACCCAGCCACCCTCATTCCCTAGTCCAGCACCAAAGAATAAAACCTTGAGCCCAGCAGCACATGCAGCAACTTGACGATGTTCGGGTGGTCCAACTTCCTAAGGATTGGTGTTGGATCTTGGGAACTTGGTGATAGGCTGATGCCTGTTTCTGACAGCTGGTGTTTCTGCCTCACTGCCTCGCTCTCTTTTTGGAGTACGTTTCTTTTGATGTTATATCCGGTCTCTTTCAACAGTCTGGTTTCTCGCCGCCAGTCCTTATATAGGGTTCTTCAAAGGAGTATACATTGCGGCGACCATTAGCTTGGAAGCATTCGGAACCCCGGTGCATTTGGCTTTATAGGGAAGTCCTCGCAAATTGCTTCCCTGTACAATCAAACGCCCCCCAACTAATATACAGGAAGGTCAACAGTGTTTTCAGGCCGCAATGCCCCAAAAGGAGACGCCGGTCCCTGTTGCCAATCGGTTGCCCATCGGACCGCCCGGTCAAAAAAAAAACTCAGTCAACTGAGGAAAGTGAGCTGATTGCAAACATGGCTCAGATGTACTTGAGACTCTTGAATGAAGGACTCTAAAACATAATCCTTCTCTTTCTGGTTCTCTTTCTGGCTCATCTTGTCGCGTTTGCTCACAAAGGCACCTGAGTTCGTAAACACTCGATTCTCGACTATGGGCAAACATAGTGCACCTTACCATCCTTACCCCAGGAATGGGGTTTAGACATTGGCTTCGGAGATGCATTGGCTCCCACACGTTGGCTCGCACGTTCCCATCCCCAAACGCTCCATGTCTGGACTATATGCCGCAAGATTTGGGGTGGTTCACACAGGGTCTAAATGGAATGAAAAGCTTCATGAGACTTCAGCTCTCACCCAATAGTTGCTTGGCGCTTCGCGAAGGAATCATTGAAGATCACTCCCAATTGCCCACGGAGTGAACCGGGAAAGCCAAAAACGCTCTCAGTGCGGCCCTAGAACATGTTGCGAAATCTCAGTGCTTGAACGCTTGCTGAGCACCTCAAAGGTTAAATAAACAGCAATCCGGCCAGGGGCCCACCTGGCCGTGTCCTCCCGAAGGGTTTTGTTTTTTCTCCCGAAGGGTTTTGTTTTTGCCACCGACCAGAAGGTTAGACCTGGAGGATACCTACGCCCGTGTGCTTTACAGTGTTTTTTGCGTGCGACGTTCAAAAACATCGCACTTTATAGTGTGTCTCGTGCGCTTGGATGGGGCCGGATTCTCAAAAAAACATTGTTTTCATGTGGTTTCGGCCTCGGAGAGGGGGTCCGGTACGGAAAACGTCGCATCTGAAGAGTATGTCAACATAAAGTGCAAAATACCACCAACATAGCTCCAAACATATGCCCAACACGGGTGCATAATGCTAGAAATGCGTGCCGCACCGGTGTGCATATCCTGCATCGTGTGGTGGGCCCCTAAACCACGACCGCAACCACAACAACCACAACCATCTGCAACAACACCAACAACAACAACAACAACAACAACAACCACCATCTGCAACCACCCGCCGGTGGTGGGCGTCAGCCCTTAAATTCCAAGGCAAGTTCACTCTTTGAAGTTTCTACCTGGGACTCCGTGATTTACATATTTTTAGGGATCCACATACCCTCTGAGAAGGTGATTGGAGACACTGTTATGTAAGTTTGGAGGGTCCAGTCGTGCTTTCTGAGGTTCGCTACGACTGGATCCCTGGGGTACGAGCAAACATCTTCACTCTATGAACCCATCGATGTACAGAGGCCCCCAAAAGCCTGAGTGCAGCACACTTGACTGCGTTGCGCTCACGGGTGTGCTTATCCATGGCCACTCGGACTTCCTCGGGTCGCTGGTCGGGGGCTTTGCTCCATAGGTCTTGGAGCCCATATTTTCTTCACATGACCGGTTTGGAACCATGCTGGTCTCAGCGCCAGTGCTCGGTTGGAGCCCCAATGTTCGCACAGTCACCTAGGAAAGGGTGGGACCAACCCCCAAGGTCAAGATCCCCAAACCATCCATGTATGGAATGGTACTTAATGATACTCAATGTTACTTACACTAGCTGGCCAGTTAGGGTCATAAGTGGGGTAAATGTTTGGAACTATATATTCCGCCTGGTCTGGGCTCTGATGCGACGGCCCACTCAGGGAGACAGGAAAAATTCATATCGATCTCACTTGGAACAGTATTTTACCCATTTTTACCCTCAGTCAATGCAGCAAATGTCTGTGGCTTTTGACGTTTGAAAAACCCCCTTTTAGCTGTTTTCAGACGTTTTTGGTGCTGAAGAACGCCCTCCACCGCATGCCATGCTGAGGTTCTTCAGAAATACGGCACCGAATGCTCCACCATCACGGCGAATTCTGACTGCTCCTTCTCTTCCCATCAATCCGCAGGTCACGAACGATGAGATGCCGGTGAATTTTCACGCTCCGGGGGTCCGTAACCCGGACCGGAGACCGCAGAGCAGTCTGAGGTTCCCCCTACCCCTGCCTGGCCGTAGGGGTCAACTACTTGGGGATGGTTGGCCCATGGATAGTAAGCGAACTGAAGTTCAACCACCTCCTATCTAGCAGAAATCTCCAGCTGGACCAACACCTTGATCTCTTTGGCCAAGTGACTCCGAAGCTGCCCTTACCCAGCGGCTCTCCTGGCGAGCCATGAGGATACTCACAGCACGGATGCAGGATTCATACAGATGCGGGTGCGGTTCTTTTTGAGCTTCGACCAGGAGCCTCACTTCAGGGATTGGGAACATCGATACGTCCATTCAGGAGTCCAACAAGCACCTGGAACCCCCAAGAATCATGCAGGGCCTTGGCGAACTAGCAGCAGCATCCTCCAACCCTCCACAAACCTCTGCCTGATCAAACGGAACGAAACACGGAATCTCATCTGGCACTGGTGAACTTGAATGAATGCTAAACGGGTGTGTGGAGAAAGGGGGTCAGCAAAAATCGCTTATACGAAGTTAGTGCATCAAAAATACTCCACGAAGTTCTGAGTCTGCGAAGGTTTCTGGGATTTCGTTGCAGTCAGTTCTCCTACTGGCCCACCATTCCACGAACTGTCCACGAACAGCCTTGGGCTCTACGAAGGTCACGCGCCTTCCACGCGTTAGTAGAATAGGTTTTTGCAAAACCCTTTCTGTGCACTACCCTTCCGTTTGCCTTTGATTGAAGATGGACCTGAAACCTGTCCAACTTCTGCTGACGTGGTCCAGATCAACTTCCATGGAAGTACATGGTTCTTGTTGGCCCTCTCTCCAAGAGTCGTCCGAGGTTCATCCGGCCAGCGACCCTCCCCGAAATCGACCTCCCCCGCTGCGGGCCTGGGGGATTTGACCATCAAACTTTCAAACAGGTGAACACTTTTGGTGAAGACAGGAACGGTCTGTCTGTGGCTTGTCCTGGAAGAAAGACATAGCGCTCTTCAACACTGATGCCATGACTAATGCGGCCCGTGCCGAAGAAGCTTTGCACGCCATCCGCCTTGGGACCGGTCGGTGGACCGAGGAAAGCGCGATTGGCCGCGGCACAAATAGAATCAACCTCTGAATTTCATGAGTGTTGCTGCCAAACTTAGTGTGTGTGTTACAGTAGTGGAATGTACAAAGACCAATCATAGCCACCAAAATGCCCTGGAAATGCATGTGAAGGCAAGTGAATCGAACATTGCACAGTGCGGTGAAGTATGGGTTCCTGAGTCTGAACTTTTTTAAGCTGTACCTGACGTGCCTACACTGCCAACAACAACCCTTGCACCTGCTCTCTCTCTCTCTCTCTCTGCATTTGCCTTTGTTCCAATAACAAAAAAAGTGGGCTTCTTCACCTCAAAGACCTACAAAAACGAAGGCCAGGCAACAACCGTGCCGTTTAAGGACGCATTTCACCCTCTACCGCACAAATCTGCTTCACCCATCCCGGAGCTTCACTGCAGGCCGGTGGCAAAGCGGTAAGTCTGAGAGCGAGCTTTATGGATAAGGATCGCTGGTAGCATGCTGACACGCTTCGGGAGGTGACTATCCATCAAAATGCCTCAATCAGCAGCTCACTTCCAGGGGCCGCCGAAAGGAGCTTCGTTGACGTGTGAGGTGGCATGTGGGCCCAGAAGCTGCTTACTCTCGAACCATCTCGAACCATAATTATATAAATATGTAATTAAAAGTAACTATCAAAATCATATCAGTTTTCTCTGGTCCGATGGTGACCCAGTGGCCCTCCAATCGCTATGAAATTGGCGTTCCAATCCCAAACTCATCTGCTTCCTCCATCCTCGCGCACCTCTCCCCACCAAAAGCGCCGGCGAATCGAAAAGGAAAAGGCACCTCTGAGGCAGCCCAGCTCGGCCAAACCCGTCCAGCACCCTCGCATTGTCGGATCCACCGACATGACCACCTCAGATCACAAAACCCTAGGGCTCAAACCATATCCTCAGGAGGTGGTTAGACCCCCCTGGCACCCACCCCAACCATCTTCGAAACGGAGGTGGTTGGAGCCCTAGGGAAAATCGATCAACGCGGACACTCGGCTTCGGTGGTTTTCGACCCGAGTCGAGGTGACCGTTCGCACGGGAGTCGTTTGGTTGGGTGACTCTTCGAAAGAGTCTTCGTCTCCTGACTCCCATGTGCCTCCAAAAAGGAAGATCATCAAAGCATCGACATACCAGCACCACCCAGTTCGGGTGGTTTGACCCCCTGACTATCTATTTTCCATCTAATAACCACCCAAACTGGGTGGTGCTGGTACAAACTTGTAGTGTTCCAAATGGATTTCCATGTTGGCCGCCTTGATGGAGTGTTTCCCACACCGAAACCCGAACGCGAGGCCAATGGACGAGGCCCATGGGCTTCTCACGGATCAAATGTTTGGGGCACCAAAAGCACAAACAAAGCGAATGTACATCTATCTTTTCATATCTTCTCTACGCCTCAAACCAACCTCAACTCTAGAACTAGCTGCTAACCTCAAGGTTTTGACCATCAACTTGGACATGGCTTTTATAAAATCACATATATAAATCTGTTAATGCTTTTTAGATGGCCCGGAGCTTGGACAAATCTTGCTTAAGCCAGTTCTTCATGGGCTCGGGCCTAGGCGGCCTAGGCTCCAGTCAACCCAAACTTCGATAAGTTTGGACGGCTTGCGAAGCCAAATCGTTTCTTGCTGCAAACCAAAGTTCCATGTTGGCCGGTCAGTGTGCAACAGCTGCGGTTCTCGAATGCGCAGCTGTAACGCCCCTGGAACCTATGAAGGGTGCGCCTTACTGATCCTGACTGCACTACTTTTGCAACAGGTGGTTGCTTTAAGTTGCTTTCAAGCTAGTGGCTAGTGTTGTCTGCATCTCTACCGGCCCTGCTGACGGCCTCCTGTCATATTGATGTTCCATCTAAACTCCTCCTCTCCAGGATTGATCCAAGCAAAAAACGACTGCGCAGCAGCAACACAAGCCAATGGAACCCCAAAGGTAGCGACCCGCTGCCACACTAGCTGATGGTTTCTCCAGCCCCACAAGGGCACCATATGGATGTGGGTCATGTCATGACCGTGCAAAGATCCATGAACAAACTAAAAGAACCACCGTACAGTAAATGAAAGTGTTCTATTGAGAGATCTTCACTCAACAAAGCTTCACGCTCCTAGTCCTATAGTTTTTCAACCAAAAACGCTCCCACAAAGCAAACATTATACTATAATACGGAGGGCCGGCTGCGCAGCCTGTGAAAGCGCCATGACGAAGTAATGAGACAAAAAGACCTTTCTTACATTTCCTTACAGTATGTGTTTTCTTTGTTTCTGCCATGGTCTCCAACCTACGGGTACTAGCACTTTCCTATTTCTTCCGGCTCAAGGCCGTGCAATTGATCCTGTTTTCTCTGCACGTTCGCCATCACCGCAGGGTGGGCCACTTCGCTGCTGCATCGGGCGTCAAGACCCGTAGCTAAACCGTGCCCGTGTGCCACCGGAAGACTCGCCGTGCCCGTGTGCGAAACACTCCGAAAGACTTTGTGACCTGTTTCTTTGTTTGGCACAATTTGGAGAGGTCGGGTGCAGCCCCATCCAGTTCGGGTGGTTTTTGTTAGCGGAGAATGTGCGTTCGCAACAACCGTCCTTGTGGTGATGTGCAGCACGGGACCATGAAAGCTCTTATACTGCGCTTGTGATGGTTCGTATCTGGTGCCGGGCTCCAAAAACTCTCACACTTGAACTGATGTTACACGTAGATCATGAATATAAGAATGTAATAGAATATGAACAAGGGACCATTATCCAATCCTAGCTTTGGTCTGCACGACTCTTTGTGGCGGCTTGTGTGTAGCAGCCTGGCTGGCGCAGGCTCCATTTCCAGGCCTAGCTGCTGAAAGGGTCACCGTTCACATCAAAAGTCATTGGATGTTCTGAATTTTTGCTGACAGCCGGCTCTGGCATCGGCACTGGCGTGAACTTCCGAAGCGTGTTTTGACGTCAGGTATTGAAGCGTTGTATTGGATTGATGTGGTTTGCTCCACCTTGTCTCTGGAAGACACTGCCACTCAGCCGGGTCTGTGGGCTGTCCGGCGGTGGAACTCTCTCCCTGACGGGTCCGGGCCGACCCCTGGGGGCCCGGTCTGGGGGTAGAAAAGAAGAGGGAAACGAACGGGGGTTTCCCTACAAAGGAGAGTCGATTTCATATGAAATAAGGAACATCCTAGGTTTCACTCGGGTTTCTTCTGAAGTTAAGTGACCGGGACCATAGGACCCGAGCTACCAGGGGTACCGAACTAGGATAGTCGAACTAGGGTTTTTTCAACCATTTCATAGGGAAATGAACGCCATTTGCTGTACAGTAAGTTGTGGCATAATATGCAATATTCATCAATATGTCCCTTTGGGATGATGGTGGAATCCTTTGAAATGGGATCTGAATCCTAGAAAAAGTGGGTGCACCGGTCTGAAAAAAAACCGTTCTCTGCCCGCCTTAGGCAGTTTTGAGAACAAGTGGCCCAGTGTTGTCACAGCACTCCTGACAGCGACAGCTGGTGAGTGAAAAGAATCCTTTCAATATGACTGCAACATGAACCTGGCCATGTCAGCCCAAAACAGAGTGCAATATTAGTGGGAACGAATACTTTAAACACAACAACATTGACAACAAATTCTACACAGCTGAACTGTTTCAGAGTTGGCAGTGTTTCCTCATTGTATATCTACTTGTAACTTGTAACCCTGACCAAGATCAACAAGCTGCTACTATAGTAGTAGTAGTAGTAGTAGTAGTAGTGGTGGTGGTAGTAGTAGTAGTAGTAGTAGTAGTGAGGGTTGGTCATGGTCAGGGTTACAAGTAGAACTACTATGACTCCGACTACTAATACGACGACGACCACTACCAAAATTGTTTCTGGAAGACCCATCTCTATAGACCTTCCCCCAGTTGTTTGCAGGGAAGAATTGATCATTACAGACCCAACACTAATTGCTACACTCCCTGAAACAATCATGGACGTGGATGTCATGGCACACAAATGGATGACCCTTAAATCCGAATACAAACAGGTGGTGAACTGCACTTCCATGATGATTTCCGGAAAGGGTGTCCATAAATAGCCCCTTGGGGATCAAGAGTCTCCATTAACCACCCTGTTTCAGGCAGTGTATGTTGTATATATTTTTATATAATCGTCTTGGTGTCAGGTCACATCTACCCACGTCTTGCCTTGTAAATGCCATGAGCTCTGGGCGTCTCCAGCGTCTGAGCACATTCTGAGCCCTATCTTCTAAGTGGCAACCAGAACCAGGTGCACGGTGCACTGTGGCGCTTTTAGCCTGGGAGCCTGGGAGCAGTTGTTTTGCACGTGTTTGTACCAAACAGTCAGGACGGAGTGACGGCAGGACCCCGGCTACGAGGAGAAAACACTTCATGTCCGAAAGAATGCGTAGGTTTCCCCGAACCCGCCGGCTGTGGCCTTGTTGTATTTCCCATGAGATCCGTCGCAATACCTTGCAGTTGCACCAGTGCAAAAGGAAGCAGCATCAAATGCATGCAAGCTGGTTCCAGTTTCTTGCTCAACTCATTCTGGATTCCTGGATTGTTCGACCAGTGTTTGGCTAAAATCTTTGGCAGGATGATGCAGAATGTATTTCACCACACCTGTTCGGGACGTTCGTGTCAAGGCCAATTTTGGTCACTTGCAAGAAGTCCACTGCTGTCCACTAACATTCTGTTCGGCACCAGCAATTGGATGCAAGTTGTGAAGGTGCTACAAAGAGAACTTCAAGTCAAACACGAACCCCTTTCGAAGAAAGGAAGTGACTTGCTGCGAGCTCCTCTGGGACATCTTGACCTTTGATTGACCTCGCTCTCCGTGTGTGTCAAATTGTCAAACCATCAAACGTCACCCAATGGAAGGTCTGAGATTCTCGAAGTGAACGGACGGATTCTATATATATATATATGTATATTCCAGTCCCAAATGGAGTCTTTAAAATAGACTTCTCCGGTGGTTTCTCAGTGTTGGATCACCTCAAACGGCATCAAAACCACCGAATGGACTTGCACCCTCCAATCTTGGTCACATCCCATTACCGGATTTCAGTGGATGATGCTGGTTAGGTTGCAGGCCGACATCTCTAAGTTGTGATAATACACTAATGATGATGGTTACACTCCGACGAACACATGGAAGTGGATGGCACCCCCTGTTTGTAAAGGACAGTAGTCTTCCGGACCATGCCATCCACTTCCACGTCAGTGAGTCATACACTAGGACCGACTGTTACAGGTTTTCTGGGACAGTCCCGTTTGACCCCGGTAGGCTATTTCATCAATCCAAGGTGGCGGAAACTTGCTGCTTCGCCAGCAGCCTCAAGACACGGCAGCTTTGACATAGTCTACAGTCTTCACGGACGCGTCAGAAACATCAACCTTGCAAGACTTGGGACAAACAATTGCTTTCCTGAAGTTGTTTTTTTTCTGACTTGGGACTTGGTGACTTAACATCAACTTCCTGAGAAACACTGTGGCCCAAGGTGCAAATGCATGCTGGCTTGCATGAGAAAGGTCTGAATTCAATACCGGCCATATACCACAATGAAGAATCGATGAATTTGATTCTGATGCACATTTTGCTCAACCTGGTGTCATCTCCCAACAAATCGGTCAGAGTATGGGGATCACACATCCCCAAATGGATGCGTCGTTTGGAACTGAGAACAGCGAGCCCCCGTACGCCAATAGGGTTTAATTGGATGGTTTTAGTACACCCTAGGGCTCCAACCACCTCCTGAGAAGGTGGTTGGGGTGGGTTTGGGGGGTCTAACCACCTGACGGTATGGTTGGAGCCCTAGGAACATTCTATCGCCCAGGCAGTGGCTCCGGGAGGGTCTTCCATTTTCAGCGGGATCGCTGCTGGGGATCTCCCTCTTCCACTACTACACCGCAATCGGACCTGCAGTTCCGCAAAGCAAGGAATAAGAACCTTGGGAACACAGTGGATTGCTTCACATCCCAACATTTTCTGGGATTTGCTTCAGGATAAGGGGCTTCACTCACGGCCTAAGGCCCATATGTAAAAAATAAGTATCACTTTAAGCAAAAACTTGTCTTTCATGGTCTTTCAACGTATGACAACCTTACTACCTGACACCTGCCTCACTGTTTGCGTTTTCCTGAGTACACGATCCGAGGTCCGACCGAACCCAGTGAACCCTTGGTGAAGTGCACGGCCCGCCCTGCTGCTGCTCCCACCAGGGCACGGCAAAATACAGCTTTGCCTGGCGCAAATGCTGCGAGATGGAGATGTTCTGGTCATTCGTTCCTTCTGGTCGAGTTCAATTGTTGCATTTTGATCAATTTCCAGTGTCCAAGACAAGCTTGAGTCAGTGATCCCAAAATGTCAATCATCTACAGTACATCCATAGATGCATGCAACATGCGCAGTAGGAATTCATGGAAGCATTCAGATAGCACAACATGGACACTACACTCTCGAAAAGAGACGGACCCGGGTCGAGCGGCACCCAGGTCGTCCGACGGTTTCCTGGAAGCTGCATCAGTGGGAAGCTTCACTGACCAGGCGGGTTTTCCATACCTGACAAATCCTGACAGATCCTGACAGTAATGATGTGGACTCTTGATTAATAAACCATCTCAGAACCTCTTCATGTGGGGCATTATGAATCAATTGTCATGCATTATAACTTCGTGTG